GCAGAGGACGGAAACCAGACTGGAACTGTTCGTAAAGGTTATTATCAGTTAGGTGTAGATGGACTTGTGAAGCAACTATTTTTTTCAAGAATTTTTGAGAGGAATGGTAGATTGGAGATAGGATGGAAATTATTAAAGTTGTTGGGATCTAGACCTGTTTTTTTCAGGATTGGGGTAATAGCGGCAACTTTGAAGGAAGCAAGAACAGTTCCAGTGGTGAGTGAAGAGTGAATAATAGCAGATATGAGGGGAAGGAGAGAAGGTAAACAGGCAAGGACAGTGGGGATAGGATCAAACTGGCAGGTAGAAGGCTTTGATTTATGGATGAGATCAACAATATCAGTTAAAGACGGAAGTTGAAAAACAGAGAGGAAGTGAGAAGGGGGTGGAGTTAAGACAGAGGAGCTACATTGAGCATTAGGGTCCAGGTCTAGGTGTATTTTATGAATTTTTTCAGTGAAGAATAGCATTAGAGCATCGCAGAAGTTAGATGGATAGAGATGAGCGGGCAGAGAATCAGGTGGCCTTTTAAAGGAGTTAAATAATGAGAATAGGGTCTTGGTGGAGTTCTCACTTGAACAGACAATGGTAGAATAATAGGCAGATTTGGTTTGACTAATACATTCCTGATAAAACAGAACATGGTTATTAAACATACCCTTATGAATAGTAAGGCCAGTTTTCTAATAAAGACGTTCAAGCCGTTGGCCTAGTGCAGCATAAATTCATTCATGAGGGGGAAAATACAGTGAGAACATTTGGAGGCTATTAGAGGGATAACATAGTGAGTTCAGTGCACTGATGTGACATTGTCCTGAATTTTTTATTCATTCTCTATGGTTAAAGAAATTGCACTAATGAATTCGTATTTATTATAAATAATCCTAATTACACATCTTTCTTCCGTGTTTATGTCCTGTGTCACTAAAAATACTTTCTATTTTAGTTTTATACATTGATCAATGACCTGCAGAATCTCCTTATCATATTAGGTGTCCATAATTGTCACTTAAAGTCAAGCTTTATGCGTTCTCCCTCTTGAAAGTGATTACATCCTTGCATTACATACTTTAGGTTCATATTTTGCTGGCAGATAAAAAAAACCATTCAGATTTAAAATATATGCAGCGTTCTATAGATGGATACATAAAAACACTTTGTTACATTTATGATAAATGGATTTGAAAGTAGATTAAACACATTTGTCGGCCTTGGCTCATAGTTCTTGTCTTTAAAGGAACTTTGTGTGTGTTTCAGGTACTGCACTCTCAAAGACTGAATGAACCAGCATTGCAGCCATGGGTCATTGTGAGCATCACAGGGAAGGTTGAAGCCGCCCACTGCAGCTGTAAGGCCGGAGTCGTGGAGACCTGCACCCATGTCGCTGCTCTTCTGTTTAATGTAGAAGCAACAGTGAGGATCTGTGGCACAAGGACTGTTACAGATGAACCTGCATACTGGGTTTTGCTGGGTAATATGACCAAGATACAGCCAGAGGTTGGCCATAAGATAGACTTCTCCTCTTCAGCTGCCCAAAAAAAGGTTCTTGATCAAAACATAAACAGACCATTCGTTGTGACAGGTAAAAGAAGCCGTCCTCAAAAAAGAAAAGTTCCACCTGCTACTGTGGAGGAGTTGGATCAACTGACGGGAAAATATTTCTCCAAGCATAGTTCTGTTCTGAATATTCCACAATGTTTTAATTTAGGGGGCCATGTAAATAATTTGCATTTACTGAATATGTACTTACTAAGTAACACTGTTCAAAGTTGAATAAAGAAACAAACAAATGTTTGTCTTTTTTTAAAAATTAAAAGCACTTTGTAGAACATCACATCAGTTACAATGTAGAATCAACAAATACAGGCCACGTCATGTATAGTTTACAAATGACAAAATGTTTACATAAAATCATGACAGCATTTAAATAATATCAGTCACTACTAGCATTCTGTAATTTACTGTCTCTTTTGAAAACTTATCACTACATATACAGCACAAGACTTTTAAGAGTATTTAACAAGAGTATTTTCCCTGGTTTTACTGCCACACTGGGGCACATGTTCACCAAAACGCAGCAAACCTTCACCATCTTATCCAGAAGGGTCACCTCTTCCCCCTCACATGGAAGAAGTAATCTGATTGGCATGGTGGTATGTAGCATGTAGTTTGAAGCAGGGCTTTCTTAGTGCCCCATGTGTGTGTTGGAACCAAGTCACGATGTTTCATCCATTTCATTGGCTGGTTTGTCTGCAATAATGAAAAACAATTAGCAACTCTATAAATAGAACGTGGTTCTGCAAAATCCCTCATTAGGATGTTTGTTCTAATTTGCTATGACCTCAGAGCGCATCGCAAATAAAACTAATAGGCTATAAAGAGTAATATGAACTTATTTAGAACTTACCGGAATAAAAATACTGGAGCACACCAACAGATATCTGTGGATGGTAGAGAACTGGATATCAGCTCATCTCACAGCTGCTATCCAGACTAGACGCCTTCTTTTGGTAACATCCGATACACGAGCTGCCTCATGTTGCTTCCAGGTGGGGAAAGAATGAAGAGATAAAGCATTTTCAACCTTATTCTCTTACCAGTCGTACCGCACAGAAAGTACGAACCATAGCTGTTGTTATCCGTGTACTTTCGCTCCTCTTTCGCTAGCACTTTGTTTGGCCCAGAAACATGGCGCCTCAACCAAAAATCTGGCCACGCTCCCTCTAGTGACATCACGCTCCAAAAGCCCTAGTCATCCATCAAGGAGACGTAACTACTCCATCTTGGGGTGTGACTCCTCCTTCTCGCTCTCTGTTTCAGCTTTACCTCCTAAACCTGTGAAGTCTTCACAGCCGACGGTACGTTTCTGGTCAGAGACGCCTCCACCAAGATGCACGGAGATTACACTCTGACTCTGAGGTAAAGCTCTCAGTGCATCACCAGCTTTTTAAACACAGGTTTAAAATCCAGTAAACAAAAATGAAACGTTTATATAATGTTTAAATGTAAAGACTGACTGAATGATCTACAGGTGTGAAGGGTGGAAGAGCCAAAACTCGTGGATAAATAAAGCTGAGAGAAACGTTCAGCTGTAAGTCGACATTAACAGTTGAATAGAACGTGGAACAGGATGAAACCTTTGCTAATCTTGTAAGAATAAAACATTCATATAAAGTTAAACAACTTTATACTCGTTAATTCACATTTTTAAAATCCTCTAAAAATAATTTACTGTCAGTGATCTGTGGCTGCTCACCTGCAGCGCCCTCACTGTCCACCAGGGGGCCAAGGCTCTACGTCTTCCAGCTGATTTACAGATTTCGTGGTTTGCACAGTTACAGTCTTGTTATTTGTGCAGTAAACGTCCACAGCACAACTGTCTGCTTTGTGTCTGGACGATGCCGCGGGCTCTGAGTTGACCAGCTCTCCGTTCTCTCGTCACCTGCAGGAAAGGAGGCAACAACAAGCTGATAAAGATCTTCCATCGGGAGGGGAAGTACGGCTTCTCCGACCCCCTGACCTTCAGCTCGGTGGTGGAGCTGATCAACCATTACAGACACGAGTCTCTGGCCCAGCCTCAGTCTCACCTCTCTCTCTCTCTCTCTCTCTTTCTCCCCCCCGACAGGGTGGATGGCGAGGTGAAGCACTGCGTCATCAACAAGACGAGCACCAAAAGTTGATTCTGTTCATCTGGACGTAGCATTTTGTGGGAGAAACGTTTCGTCACTCATCCAGGTGACGTCTTTGGTCTCAGCTGACTGCAGGTTTCCCCAATCTTATAATCAGGACATTTGCATAACGACTGAAACCAGCCCACTGAAGGAACAATAGGCTGGGAGGTCAGGTTGTTCTTTCAGTGGGCTGGTTTCAGTCGTTATGCAAATGTCCTGCTTAGACCTGAGTCGTCGCCTCCATCCCGATTGGTCTGTTCAGCCTCATCATCTCCTCTGGGCACACAGCTTTGACCCCACACAGATGTGTACTTCATTTACATTTGAGAACAGAAAGCAGTTGTGTACAATCAGAAACAGAATCTTTTTACTTCCAAGGATTCACATTTTGTTTTGGTCAATAAATGTTTTTAAATCTAAAGTAAATCTAAAGTAAAATGATTGGATTTCTCTTTTGAGCTCCACAAAACTTCATCTTCTCAGAAGATGTTTTTTAAGCACAGCGAGCCAACGAACGCAGGAGGCAGAAAAGGTTGTTGATGAGGTGAATCAGCCGCTGCAGGCTGCAGAGGTGAAGGCGGCTCTATTTTGAAATGTCGAGTTTCTCATTTTCAGTTTCAGACAGCAGCACAGCGCTGCAGCTGCAGGCTGGAGCTGGCACCTGGACTCGTCTGCTACGCAGTCCTGCTGCGTGTGGTTTAACATCGTCCTGCTGAAAATAGAGGCTGTCAATGAAAAAGCTTTTCCGCACATATCTGCTGAGTGTCTACGTTATCTCTGAGCTCCTAGACGCACACTGACGTTTATTATTTTACAAGCTGTCGTTTTTGTCCCTTTACGTCAGAGGCCACCACCAGAGTGATGGAGAAACGACATGAGTAGACGGTCCAGGCGTGTCAAGGTTTGCGCTCATATTTTTCTTAAGATGGTGCATTTTCCAGTTTAAACCGTTTACAGGATAAATGAATAAAATATTTATTTATGAGAAAATTGAGCTCTGTTTTTATTTTTTATTTATTTACACACAGCGCGGCCGCATGTTTGTACTTTCACTTTCTAAATGTCTGCCCTACTTCAAGTCCCTGCATGTTATCTACACGTAGTGTTCAGACGTGTTCGGGCACATCAGCTCAGCCATCTGCTCCACAGGTCTCAGTGCTGCTACGACTATGACAACAGAAGCAGAAATACTCAGACAAAAGACCAAAGGTGTG